CGTCTGGCGCGTCTGTCCCCCCTGGCTGGGGTGGGGGGCAGCCAGCTGTGGGGCAGCTGGGGCTGGGGAGGCCAGATGAGGGGCCGACACTCACGTCAGGTTGTTCTCTCCAATTGCTCCGCTTGCCTCTCAATGGCAGATGATTGTAAGTACGGCAGCTCCCTGTCTGTCTGTCTGTCTGTCCGCGGTGTGTCGGTCCTGGCCTCGCCGGTTTCTGTCTTGTGTGGCTGCCCCTGCCCTGCCCAGACCCTCCTCTGCCTCCCAACTTGGTCCACCTCTGTGGCCCCGTCCTCGTGCTGCCCGCTTGGCACTGGCTCCTGGTGGGCACTTGCCCGTGGTCCTGGCTTCAGGGGGTGCAGAGGTCCTGGGCAGATCCGTGGTGCCTGGATGTGGGGAGGTGCAGGGGTCAGTGATGGGATGGGAGGGGACGTGATGGGGCAGTGCCACTTCATCAGGGACAGCCAAACCAAGGCTGATCCCACCTCTTTGCTCCGTGCTGAGGGTGAGAGGCCACTGGGACAGGAGCAGGGACAGTGGTGTGTGCCTGGCAGCCAGGGCTGCTCTTCCTGACCCCTTCTGCCTCAGTTTCCCCTTGAGGCCCTGGCTGGGGGTGACTGGGGAGTGGGGAGCAGAGTCTTTCCCTGCCTGTGGAGAGGAGCATCTTGCAGGGACACACCAGTCCCTGGGCTGGTTGCTCAGGGGGGCACTGGTTCCTGGCATGAGTTGTGAGACTTCTTCCCTGGTGAGGATCCGGCCCAGGGATTCCCCTGGCAGGGCTGCTTTGACTGAGCAGTTCCCTTTGTCACTTCTGCTCAGTTCTGTGGCCATGGGCTTATGCCCCGTGGGGTAAGGGAAGGGCCACATCCACCCCCACCCTGCCCACACCTCTGCCTGCCCTGCAGGCTCTTCCCCAGGGAGGAGCCGTGGTGCTGGTGGGTCGGGTGCTGGATGCCAAGCCCTGCGGGGACCAATGCCCATCCCATGTCCCCTGACATCTTTTGTTTCCTACAGCAACATTTGGAGAGACCCTGGGGGCAGCCTAGGGCTGAGCCTCCCCTCAGACCTCCTGGGGACCCCCCTTGCTGGGGCTGCTGGGGGACTGGGGTCAGCTTGGTGGGGTACAAGGTGCTCTTGTTCACCTATCACCCCCTGCCTCAATTTCCCTCCAGAGCAAGAAGCCCTCCTGGCAGTCCTGCTTGGCCCTGTCTGTGCTGCTTGTCA